CTGGGTGTAAGCCATGCCCAAGGGTTGGTTATCAGTATCCCAAAGGCTGAAACAGTTGTAACTGTAACCACGGGTACAGCTACCCAGTCAGGAAGTAATGATGCAATGCCAAGTTATTGCTAGGGTTCTATATGCCCAAAGGAGACTTTTTGTTTCGTCTCCAATCCATTTTGGAGGGATTTGGTTGAGGTATTCTGATATGTACTGGCTGAGAACAGTTTAAACTACTTGGGCCAGATTGAAATGGGCCAATTCTCAACCTTGTTGATTTCAAACTGGACCAGGGTTGTTCTGGTGGATGGCTGATGTAAGAGGATATTCTGAGTTCGCTCAGAAAGGTTATTAAGGTTAGGGATAAACAAAACAGGTTACATGACCAAGTGGCTGGTCAGGGTTCAGAATATGTGGTCTAAACTGGTTAATTGGTTATAGTTGTTGAACTACAAGGTTGTACATGTTGCACAAGCCTTGGAACCTTGTTTATCTTGAGTTCGCATCCAATGAACTTTGTTTATGTCATCAGCTGATTTGGTTCTGTGACTTTAAATGTCTGTAACTCTTTAGTTATTGATTATTTTACAGAATTCTTTGTTTTTTGAGTATGTGGTTACACAGTGGTATGTAACTACATGAATTTTGTTTTTATCTTCAAAGTAAAGTAAAAAAAGTTTATTTTTATTTTTAAAGGCCTTTGTGGTCATTTGCAGGCTTTTGACCATATATACTTTTATATGTAGATTTTTATGCTTAATAATAATTTACTATTTATAATGTTTTTTTCTTGGGCTAGTCTTGAGACTTGACTATGAGTTGTAATTGTTATTTTTATTGTTTTATATTTTGAGGCCTATGGGTATGTATATACCTCAAGGCTGACACGCTGTCTCAGGTACACTACATAACATGTGAAATGTGAGTGAAATATGAGAAACATGTATAAAGCAGAGATAGAAAAAGAGAGATGAATATGCATAGCTCAACAATCAATTGATCAACCAGTTGCTTTGAGTAGCTTTCCATCAATTGGTCAAGTTTATTGGTAGTTTCACTTGTGTTGCTCTCAATGTAGTCATTGATGATAGATATTGTCTTGAAGACTTCTTTTGCATTTGGTTGAGAGCAAGGTGGTTCATCCAATCTACTGTTGTAATCCTTGCCTTCTTCTTTGGTCCTTACACCCTTGAACAATCAGAATATCTCTTCAGCAGTCCACATAGTGTATGACTTGCCAGTTGGATTGAGAAGCTTTCAAAAAGAAATTTGATCGAATTCTTTGAGAATACCAACCAACTGAAGCCAAACAATTTTTTTCATACAACACAAGATCATTTGTGTCCAGGCCTGGCAAAGTGTGGTGGTCTGTGACTCTAGCATGGAAT